CCGTTACTTTACTTTAATATGTGCAAAGCTTTTCACCCTCAGGGATTAAAATAAATGTGTTTTTGCTCGGTAAAATAATTAAATTTTTATACGCGAATAAGTAAGAATGAACGACTGTTTTGAGGATTGTGACATTGATAAACATTCTTTGAAATCCGTATCGACGTTTGAAGACTCGTGTGTCTATTAACGTGAGGACTTCCATTAACGCCACACGCTCGAGGAATCAATATTAATATGAGCTACATACAGGATGATACAGGATATCTCAGATCTACCAGGCCACCTTTTAAATATTCTTGGACAAATAAATCGATTTTTGCTTAAAAAAAAATATCGAACCTCAATCATTTTCAGCTTGCGGCTGCTAGAAGAAGCCTCGAAAAATAAATTTCAAAAATGAAAACAGATAGCAAAAATTTCTCTTACTTTATTGAATTTATAATTTGAGATTAATTACAATAATAATTAATGTTAAAAACCGAAAATTTATGAAATAATGAATCGATATCTTCGTTTCGAAGAAAGATTGATTTAAAGTTGATTGAAGAGTTCGTGGATGAAGAATGGATCGCTAAATCTGGGACATACTGTACATCGGGAACATTTAATGGCCGTTAGTGGATACACGTCGCTTGAAAATGGAATTGAATAGAGTAATGTGCACGCTTGAACAATATCCCTTCCCTGTTGGCGTATCGTATTGTACGTTTGCCTAGATAATGAGACGTCACGGTCAGTTCAGTGTAGCCGTTATTTATAATCCACAATTGATTCTACACATTCTCCTTTCGCTATTCAACTTGTTATATACAGCATAGTACATGTGCCCTCATGCATATCGCGTTAAACCATGTGCACATCGGAAAACGATGAATGATAAGCGACGTGTTGAGAACAATGAAGAAGATAAGCTCGTGTATTAAACAAACTCGAGCACGTGTAATTTTAATGACTTTACGCATTGTTTAATATGTTCCACTTTTACTGGATCAATGATAGAATGTTAGATGAATTTTAATCGATCTTTTCGAAAGAAAAAGAAAAGCATCGAGAAAAGAATTATTTTCTTTAATTTTTCTTAATTTCCGATATTATATATCTACAGAATTTATCTTCAAATTTAAAATTATGTTGAAGTTTGTTTAGAATCTAAGCTTTATTTAAGTCTTAAATTTTTATTTACGCAACCGAGTTTTCTATTTTTACATATTTACGTAAAAATATTTCATGTCGATCCACAAATAATCGTATTTGAAATCCTCTTTGCATTGCAAAAATGTTTACTATTCAAAATGAGATTATCGCACACAAGGGTAGGAAAACCTTGTGCCTCGAGTCGTAAATCCGTTTGAGATCCCTTCCGTGCGAAAGATAGCCCCAAGATACATCAAGGATTTCGTCTTGAATTTTGCACGCGCTCAGGGCACGCGGCTCCCCGCTTCGATAATATAAACAGCATCCGCTTTCAGCGAAAGGTTATACCACAAGAGGAAACACGGCGAGGTTGAACATCCTAGTCGTGCAATGTGAAAAATAAATAGAGGCCAATTTGACTTCAGTACCTAAGAAAATATTACAGTCAGAATTCTGACGTAATCATTCGAATTATTATTCAGTAAATATTTTTCCAGAGGAATTTCATAATTTCATAATAATCATTTTATATATACATTTAATTATTTTCAGGTAAATATTATACAAAATCAAAGCAATACAGAATAAAAAAGAATTCCAAAGTATCCAGTCGCATTGTAAATTTTTTTTATATTTGTGACTATAATTGCATGGTAAAATATTATAGTCAGGAATTGTATTTTTAGTTATTACTGCCATAATATTAATAATATAATTATTATTTATAGTTTTATATACCAAAAGAAATATACGATTATAAAAATGACTACAAGACTATTTCTTTTATTCTTATTTATTTATAAACATAATTACTATTCAAATATCAAAGCAGAAATAACTACAAAACTAAGGCTCCTAACTATAATTATTTTACGATACAATTATAGCCATAAATACGAAAAACTTTTGTGGAATATCTTTTCTGTCGATACATCACTCGGAGCTTCAGAAATAATAAACCGTAAGCTTTTGTTCGTGAAATCTGTTCTGCGCGGTAACTATAAAAAGTATGCGGAAAAAGATAATATCATCTGGACCATCCGCGCATTGCGATACGGATACGGATCCGCGATACGGTTTGCCGATTCGTCGTTTAGCTCTCGATCCTGTTTGCTGTCGGTGAGAAATAAAAACGACCGTTGTAACGGTGGGTAAATGTGCGAGGATGGGTGGTACGTATTGTGGAAAAGTTCGTAAAAAAAAAACCGTCAGCGATATTACGGCATGTCCGCCGAGGCGGACGTATAATTTCCGGCTTGACGTTGAATCCTCGTCAACGTATGCTCCATACACGTCCATTCCGTTGTCGCGGTCCGACGTGTGTCTCATCGTCTCTTTGGCGAGGCAGTTTGTTTGCGTTAAGCCGCGTCTCTAACGAATGGATGAACAAACCTGTACGTACACGTAAAGAACAATTTTGCTGAAATATTTAAAAATTTTGCTAGATGAAGGTCTAAAAATAATTTTGTAATTTTTAAAAATAATTTTGTTGGGACAGCAAAACAATTATGCAGAAAATTCAAACACAATGAGCATGCTGCAAAAAATTTTGATATTCTTAGTAACCGCAGCTTGAGCGTCCTACATAATTATTTTAATATTTTAATAGTTGACCAAAATTATTTTTAGATCTATATATGTAACTAAATTTTTTAATATTTCAGTAAAACTGTTTTTTCCATGTAGAGGACTATTCGTAAATCAAATCGAACCGCAAAAAAAGCCTTAATTCTCTCCAACTCCGAAATAACGAGTGATTTCTCTGAATGTTTTGTTCCTTTTTCTTTGCCCTAAATGTTGTACATTAATGGAAATCTTACAAAATTTCTCAAGCATGAAATGCAAAGAATTCTCCGAACGCATCTACGTTAATTCCCACGCTTGCCATCGTCCGATGCGCGGGACGACGTGCACACAACGTGCAGCGGAATGTATTTTTTCAAAACAACAGCAGTACTAACTGTCGTCCGCGAGTGCTTGTTTCGCTAAATGATTGATGTGGTACATTTTGAAAAGACAAGGAACAAGCTGACGCCGAACAACGCGATGCGTCTATGTGCCTTATCTAAGGTGACGGCGTTAAATCGGCGCGCGTGGTCATGCATACTAATACAGACTTTGAGATATATATTTCGGTTCTCCCTGCTACGCACTTAGACCCTGCGTAATTTGTTTAAAGTATTCCGCGTATATCGGAAAAATTCCGGATGACAAATTCGTTAACTATCAACCCTTTATAGCGAATAGCTAACTGCAATTAAATAAGATTAACGATGTAATTATTATTGTGTCTTCTTGTCGAATTTGTCATCATAATCATTACCTTACTTTTAAATTTAGTTTTATTAACACTGTTTAGAAATAATAGAATAACAATTAACTCTTTAGCTGCCGTATACAAACTTTAAATAAATAAATACGTAAATATTTTAAATAATACTTTAAATAAATAAGTAGACTTTGATGCATTTAATAGTTATGTATTATTTAAAAATCTATTACTATCTCGATTTTTACATTACAATTTCCTAGCTAAACTCCAAAATGTTAAACGTATGGTAATTGCATTTTATTTAAATTCCTTTCTACCGTGTAGATTAATCTCGGTTTGATTTACTTTTCTAATTTTTAAAATTAGAGAAAGATAAAAAGTAAATTAAATCAAGATAAAATAAATCTACATTAATAAAAACCGATAATTTCAAAAGCTGTTTTGCAGGCAGGTAAAAAGTTAATTCATACGGAAAAAAACGAGTGTAAACTTACCTTTTCTCGAAGCATGTCCCTCACCCTGGTCGCTTGACTCCTACTCCTGTGCAACTCCAGCTGCAACTCCAAACATCTCTCCTGCCAGTTGAGCTCCTCCACTGTCGTCGTATACCCGTCGAAGCTCTTGGACGTGCTGTAAGTGGGCCTGACGTCCAGCTTTTCCCTCTTCAGGTCGACGTTGCCACCAGTGGCTCTCGGATCAACGAACAATCTGCCCGCTTCATATATTCGTGATGCCGGTAATTGCTCAGGCGGTTGCCTGCCGGAGAACGAGAACGCCCTGTCAAAGTGGCTCCTGCCGCTGGAAGGCCCCGGGTCGTAGTTTGACCTTCCTCGACAGAGGGGACTACCTGGTTCCTTTCCGACATCGTAGGCCAGGTCGGACTGAACTGGAGTGATGAACGTTCTTTTATCCGCATACTCCACGTGGCCGCTCGACTCGGACGTGAAGTCGTATGGGCTACACTTGGGCTTTTCACGGAGTTCGATGTAACCGGCGCTTCTGGCACTCTCAGCGAAGCTCTTGTCCTTGTGAAAGAACAGATTCGACACGTTGACGTAGGGCGAGTCTCTCGTATGCACCGACAGCGGCGCGCCGCTACCCGCATTATTGTTATTATTGTTGTTATTGACATTCGTGGAGACACTAGTAGAGGTACTGGCGGTACTGATGGCGGTAGTAGCGGCGGTGCCGACGTGCCTAGGCCGTGGCGGCGGCGTTGGGGCTTGTCGAAATTGTCGTGGCCACAATCGCGGGCTATCGGGTCCGGAATTGGAGC